GCGCGGCGTGGGCGCGGGGCCGGCCGAGCTGCGGGTCCGCGTGCGGCTGCCCGACGGCCAGGTGACCGAGGAGACCCTGCAGGCGGACAGCGACGCCGACAGCATCACCCTGGAGCTGCGCAAGCCCGATGGCACCCTGGTCTCCTTTACCGCCGACTTCAAGAAGGTGAGAGCCGCACGCTAAGCCCGCACCCCGCTCTCGGGCGCACCCCGGCCTGCAGGCGGGAACACCAGGGCCGGAGGGACGTGTTTTACTCCAGGTCACCAAGCTCCTCTTCCACCTGCCTGTCCGCCGCCCACGCCCCGGCTCCGCAGCTGCCCTCCGTGAACTCCTGCGCTGCCCGCTCCTGCGTCCTCCCATCCTCTGGCTTTCTCCGCTTGGCTCAGGCACCAGAGCCCGGGCTCACGCCGGGACCGACTCCTGCCCGGTCCCTGCTCCGCTGCCTCAGCGGACCCTCCTTCGAAAGAGTTCATGTTAACAACCAGGCCTCCCTTCTTGGAGTCCCTGTGCTCTAAGAATGTCCGGGCTGGGTACCGCAGGTGCTGGGTTCTCCCTGAGTAGTTGTGTGCTGAGAGCCAGTTCCTTTTCTCCGGGCCTGTTTCTCATGTCTGTACAGGGCAGTGAGGTGAGTTGGAGGCCTCCCAGCTCTGACCCCTTGGAGTCTCCAAACCGCCTCTGCCTGACTCCCTTTGCTGGGCAGAGCTGCCTGCCCCTAATCCCTCGAGGGCATGGAGGTGCTGGGAGGGGGTGCAGGAAATGGGCCTGGAAGGGCAGTTGGTGCCTAACGGTGACCCAGAAGCAGGGAACCTGGAGACAAAGAAACTAGGTGAGTTTTGGGAAGTTTCCTGGTGGCACCACCCCTCCCCCTGGTAAAGGGAGGCCCTGTGCTCCTCATCTCTGGGGAAGAGCAGAGGAGAGACCAGTTGGATAGCTGGGCAGCTGAAGGAGCCAAGGCCAGGGACACTTCTCTCCTCCCTCTTAGAGAGTGGGAGCTGGGCTGGACTCTGGGAAGGGAGGGGCAGGGTCTGGGGAGTGGATCAGGGACTCTGAAGTTGCTTAGGTAGCAGGGTCAGGGAGACCAGGGACAGCTGGAGTATGGGGTGAGCGTCAACTGCTGATCTGTCCCAGGACCACCAAATTGTCCGTACCATAGGACTTAGCTGGTGGGGCTGCAGTCACAGATGGGAATACGTGGTGGCCCTTTCCTACTCCACAGACCCAAGTTGGGTTCTCACCTGGCGGGTAGGGGCAGACAAGAGAGTTTGGGTGGAGAAAGGGAAGTTGATAGGGCCAGAACCACCCCTGCCGCTCCACCTAAACTTCAGGGGCATTTTATCCAGGGTGTTCTGTTCTTGGAAGACCTGAATTAGCGGCAGAATCTGCCAGGAATCAGGGATTTATTCTCCCATATGAATCCTTTGACCCTGAACATGAGCCTTCCATCGTCATGCCTACTGGCCTTGTCCTGTGGCCACCCTGGGCCCCAGAGACACTTGTGGGGCCCTAAGGCCTCCTTAGCACCCAGGGCTCTCTGTGAAAGGCAGTGGGTAGGGCTGAGCTTTTATAGCCTTTAGCTACAACGGGAAGGTTGTTTTTTTTTTTTTTTTTTAATTGCTCTGCCCTGAGGGAGAGGAGAGGGAGAGGCCAGGTAGCTGTGCCAGTGACTGAGGCAGCAGTGACTGGCTTGAGTGTAGGGTACTGGGGTTGGGGCTGAGTTTGGGGAGGTGGGTCTGACTACCCAAATAGGAACTGCATTTGGAGCTGATGGCAAGGCCCTCGTTTTAATTTTCATAGTGATTTAAACCTCTGTCTGGATATCCAAAGTATGCCTTCAGGTTAGCCCCTGACCTACAAGCTGCCAGATGGCACCAGACCTTGACATCTCCAATTTCATCAGCAAGGGACGGAATTGGAGATGGAAGGTACAGAAAGGAAATCCGCTCACCAGGGTCTCCTTGACTTCAGATTCTCAGTTGGCGTGGGTGGAGCTGACTTCAAAGGATGGAGGGAGGAATAGAGGAATGGTCTTTACCCCCACCTCAGTCCACTGTCTCCATCGCCCAGAGTGGCTTTTATGTCCCACCCCTTCTGGGAGGTCACTTCTTTTATCGTCTGCTCACTGCTCAAGGCTTGGTGCCTCATAGTCCTTGGCACATTCCCACCAGAAAGTTCTGTCTGGAAGTAATGATGGCTATTGTTATTGAAAAAAAAAAGGTCTGGAAGTTGTGGGATGTGTGGGTGTGTGTGGGCGTGTGTTTCATGTTCCAAACCCATTTTGACGTGGTTTGGGGTAAGTTCTGAATGTACTTGGGAACAATGATGTTTGCTTTCTAATCATCTTGGACGAAATTTCCTACTCATGAGCTGGTGACCACTGCGCCAGCTATGTGACCTCCCCAGGCCTTCTCTTCTTCCGCTGTAAAGTGGGGCTAATAACAGTGCTTGTCCTGTGGTAACTGAGTGAATGAACATGGTAGTACACATGAAGTGTTCATCCTGTATCGGGTGCTGTGTTAAGTGCTGGAGGAGCCCCTCACTTTGATAATTGGGGTTTGCACAGCATCTCGGCCAGCACCATCCCTGCTAAGCTTGGACTGAAAGAGCTTGAACGATGTATCTCAGGACCCACAGAAACTCAGTGTTGACCTTCCTGGAGACTGTGTCCCTGCATATCCATTCCTGCTGCTGAAACTAGTGTGTTCCTGAAGCCTGTGAAGCAGTTGGTCATCCACTCACTGTGGGGCACTGGAGCCTGGGCTGGGCTTAAGAAACCACAAGCAATAAGTGTAGGTGAATTCTGGGACCCTGGGAGGAGAGGAGAAGAGTCCGGGAAGTGGGCTAGGGACCCAGTGAGGTTGCCTTAGGTATCAGGGGCAGGGAGATCAGTGGACAGTGGAGAATGGGGAGAGAGTCAACTGCTGGTCTGTCCCAGGCCTGCCATGAGTCTGTGCAAGCCTTGCCTTGGGTTGGTCCCTGCCAGGCCAAAAGAATGCCATGGCTCAGTGGTGCCCAAGCTCTGCTGCACATTTGAGTCACCTGGGGAGCTTTGAAAACTCCACATGGAATCAGTGTCTGAGGGAAAGAACCAGACTACAGTTTTCAAAGGACTCCAGCTGACTGCATGAGCAGCAAAGCCAAGGGACCCGTGGTGTAGCCGCTCCAGGGAAGGGAAGAGGACCTGGAAGAGGAATCAGGTTAGACTGTAAAATGAAGCTAGAGCCCAAACTCAGCCACGTATGTGAAACCTGCCATTCTACTCACAAAAACCCTGATGTTTTATTTTGATTTTGGTTTTGGTTTTGGTTTTGTGCTGGGGATTGAACCTGGGGCCTCAGGCATGCTAAGCATGACCTCCACCCCCATCCTTCCCAAAGTATTTTAAACAACGTATATCTTCAGGCCTCATTCTGCATGCCCTCATCACGGGAATTCTCATTCCTAATACTCAATAGATAACATGCTTCTTTATAACCCAGACCCTATATATGTAATTAGGCCTGTATGGGCACAACCACTGGGCATGTCTAATAACAGGCAGGTCACCATCCCCCAGCTCTTGCTTGGCTGGTCTGACAGCCCTCTCAGTCCCCATCCCCCAAGCTGATGTCCATGTCCAAGCTCTCTTTTGCCTCTGTCCCCCAGTCTGAATGTCCCAAAGCTGGGGAAAGGATGAGTCATGCTCCAGGCAGCCTGGTTTAGTGTTGGCCGGATGGGGAGGGTGGGGTTGAAAGATATGAAGAAGGTCATGTGTGACTGCATCAGAGTGGTGGGTACATGAGAGAGGAACGGAGACGTGCTGCAGGAATGAGAAAGGCAAGTGTCACATGGCTCACAGGCTGGAGCCTTGGAGGGAATAACCAAGATCAGTGAGTGAGTCACATGGCACTGTGGATTAGCTTAGCACCCCTCAGGAAGGACAGGGACCTGACGAGTTTGGAAACTTGTGCCCTGCCCTGGGTACCAGTGTGTGAGTTGGAGCCAGAGAAAGGAACAGTACAGAGTGTGTCAGAGTCAGTGCCCTGGGCGCTCCTGGTCTGGGAGCTGGGGTAGCTAGTGAGATGTAGTTAGTGAAGATGTGCACTGTGCAAATGGCCATGGTGCTCCTGAGCCTATTTATTCTGAGCAGGTGGTGCATCATGTGGATGTGGGACAAAAGAAACTTAGAGTCCGGTATCCCCCTGTTTTGTGTGTTAGGTCCCCTGTGATTTGATGTGTAGGCATGTGATGGATGGACAACTTCGGCGATCAGAGGATAGAAGTTCTTTCAAGGGAGGCCCAGAACAGGGCACTTTATCGGGAGTTAGTTGGAAGTCACCAGATGCAAAGACCAGGTAGGTTTAGGACAGTGAGCCCTTATGTCTAACCCCAGTCCCTCCTCTGTGTCTGAGGAATTCCTTCTGGGTCAGGGATGAGCAGTCCTGCCTGAAGGTTCAAGTTTGCTCCCTGGATCTCCACCTGCATCTCTGACCCTTGCATGCTGTTCAGGTAGAGCCTTGTGAAAGACACTTTCCCATCTCTCAGCCATGGAGACTGCCCCCTGGGAACAGTGGTGTGGCCTGCTGAGAGATGCGGGGAGAGGAAGAGGTGGCATTCATCAGTCTCAGACTCCCCAGCTACAGAGAGGTCATGGTGGATAAGCTGGGACAGACTATTGTTCCCAGACAGTCAGACAGGGCACAACCTGAAGATAAGGATGGCAGGGGTGTCCAATACCACGGATCAAGCCATCCCGCAGTTCACACACATGCTGAACTCAGTTGATCATCACTACTGCTTTGTTAGACGCATACTGCCTCCATTTTGCAGATGTGTAAACTAATCTCTGAAGTCACTTTGACAAAATCAAACAGCTAATGATCCAAGATTAGGATCCAGGGGTCCTTTTACTGTACCCTGACATCCTGGGCACCTTCCTGTGGCACCCTGGCAGACTCCTTCCAGAAGGCTGAAGGATCTTGGGGAAGGGAAGAAGGAGGCTGAAAAAGGCCTTCCGAGTTGGTATAGAAGAACAGATCTATACATCCTCCTGTATACGGCCCTGGGCTGGGCCCCTGCCAAGCTCATTACTCCCAGTAGATCAGTATTGATTCTTTGGCAGCGCCTAAGACTGTTTCCTTCCTGTGTGGCCTCCTGGGAGAATGGCATGGGGGGATGGTTTTTAAAAA